TATATAACATTATAATATAAAAAAGTTATGGAATTATACGCAGAATCTAAAAATAAAATAAAAAATAGGGTGTTCCATTTAAAAAAAACATATGTTAAATTCGCCACACTTTTTTGAAGCACCCTGTATATTCTATAATAATTTTAAAATACGTATCTTAACCTTCCCTATAACTTTTGTATTTAACATTTTTTTGTAAACCTCGACATAAATGAGATAACGGACTTAATTAAAAAAAATAATTTTACTATTTATTTTAATTTTTTTAGAGGGATGGAAAGAAGGATATTGGTTATCGGGAAACAGTTTAGCGTATCCTGAAACGCTGGAATTTTACTGGGCCTCTACCGGTCAGAAAATCATATACACAAATTGGGGAAAGGACCAGCCCGACAACGCCGGCAAAAAAGAGTTCTGTATTGGCGTTGGCCTGGTTGGCAAGAAACCCGCCTGGAATGACTATGCCCCCGAAACTGAACTGAAGTATATATGTCAATCTCCACGTCCCTGCTGTTAGTAAACGCCTTGTAGATATTACTACAAAACTTTTAGAGTTATCCTATATATAAATAATTGATTTTGCTTATTTTCACAAAAGAATATGAGGTTATTTTTTAATTTGTTTCCAGCTCAGCCTAAAATTATTGTAATAGTAATAATAAATCATTAAAAATCTGTAGTGTCTTTATTTTTGACGTAGAATTAAATAAAAAGATCAAAAATAAAGGTTTTCCATTTGAAAAAGTAGACTTTTGCATTTTTTTAATGTAATTCCCATCATATTTTTTGAGAACCCTGTACAGTACAGGGTGTCGTCTACGAGGAGAACGACAGTTCGTATTGAAATGAAATTTTGTGAGCATATGTAGGTTAATTCAGAGTATTTTTTAAAAATATAATGAGTCTACAGGGTGTCCCCAAAAAAAGTTACATGTCAAAGTTGTGTTTTTTGTAATGGAACACCCTATATATTAATTTATTTTCGGATACTAGGAGAAAAATAAAGATGAGTTTTATTAAAGAAGCATATACAGTCATATACCTAAAATCCAAGGATTTTGACATATTTCACATTTTGTGAAAATGAAGAGGAAATTTTAAATTTCGTTAATGGCTAACTAAATTTTAGTTGACCTTGTATAGTCTGATATTTAATTACAGTAACCATTGTATGTTAAACCAAATTGAAATTTTACCCGAAAAGTTATACAGGGAGAGACAAAATTACTATGGAACATTAGTCACTTTAAGCAAGTTACTCCTTTATTTTAAATGAAACACCCAGTATATTATTCCCGTGTTCAATGGGGAATTCATATATCTTCAAAATATTATTAAGGTTACCTACCCCTCAAACAACCGACTTTCCTAGATATCTTCGTTTTCATGATTTTGCGTCAGTAGATCTTTATTGTTTGACAAAATCTAGGTGGCTGTGTTAATTTAAGAATAATTAGAGTGTAGGGTAAAATACTACAATAAAAAGATACACGTTTAAAACATATTTTAATTATCACAGAATTAAAACTAGATATAAATCTATAATTATATAACAAAAATTAGCTAGTTGAAATCAAATGCTCAAAATGCTTCCTTTCCTGTTTACTACATAAAATTATTTTCTTTTCAAACGATCTTTTCATGTTAAAAGGCATACGTGGAATTCTATTTCGAAAAACAGCCACAATCGTTTCTCTCATGTTGTCGACAATAGTTGGTCGAGTTTTGTAAACACTGTCTTTAACATATCCCCATAAAAAAGCCCAGACTAGATAAAATCAGGAGAAGTTAAATATTTTATTAATTGGTTAACGCACACTGTATTCAGCAACTAATAGAATCATATTAATTCTCTCTGATTTGGTTGTAAAAATCGAAAATCGACAACTATGAAAGTATATAATTATAATAAAAATAGATAAGTTATAATAAGTATTTATTAACACAAACATCCGATACGCTACTGAAGCAGGTAAGTCAAATTAACGTATCTAAATTCTTTGACATCTAATCTTTGACAAGTAATAAATAAAAGCTAAAATGCAAGAAAAATATATAATTTAGTTAATTTAAGTGAATTTCATAAATGATCGGTTTACTACACGTATGTATATTATATAGTCACTTACTAGCGAAAAGTTGTTCCATTATTTCACTCAATTTTTGAGTGATAAAAAAAAAATTTTTTTTTGAGATCTACCGGACGCTACACAACCAACTATTTTAGAGTCTTTTTCGATAAATCGCGATAGTGTCACTGTTAATTTAAGTTCTGCCACAATTTCCATCTAGATTTACTACCTTTATACAACTATCAGTAGTAGAATAAATAATAAATAACATAAAATAAGCTCCGTAAAGACTGATAAATCCACAAAATTTCAAATCAAATTCAAATGTGTCAAATGAATCGTCAAACAGAACTGTCAAGGATCCCCACCCTAGAGAGCTTTTATGGTGACTTTTCCGCCCACCATGCATGAATACATGGATAGCATTATGCTCCTTCCTTAGTCTTCTTATTCAAAGGTTTTACAGGTGTATGACATAAATTAAGATTGATTGACGTCATATTGACGTGTTCAATTATTTTTGGTCACTTTCTGTTTCACCGAAAATAACTACAACTTTTGATTTTTAAATGACATCCTCGGTATATTTCTACTTTATTCAATAAAAAATAATACTCTGAATAGAATGACATATATGTCAACTTTTGATATTTTCACATATGGTTTATTTTAAATTGTAAAATGCGGTTCGTAACGACAATTTGACTCGAACTACCAAGTGTGTTGTATCAAATTATTCGCAAGAAAATGCTTATTCCAAATATGCTAATGAGCCACCCTCGTTCCGTTTGAAAAAATTGAGCTATGATTAAAAATACGATTTGGGCATCTTTTAGCCGGCCAGGGACAAGGTACGAAAAAAAATTAAAATTTTCAACATTTTTTTTCGCAAATAAAACTCATGGGCGTTTCTCTTCGCTTATTTCTGGAACACCCTGTATATTTTTAATTTGATTTTTACATATGATTAACGAAAACGATATTACCTTGATATTTCGTCAAAAATTACTCCTCGAAAAAAAGGTTAATTATCTTTTGCTCTGCAAATGTAATTTTTGCTATAAAATTAAACATTTTTCAGAAATAAAATTCAAAAATCATAAAATTATGCTGGTTCATTAAATATGTACATATAAGAAAATCATTGGCTATAAACTGGTCGTGCATATTCCACTTTTTATCACAAGTGGAACTGGTACCAGGCAATCATTTCTAATAAAAAAATGCGCTATATAAAGAAATAGTCCCTAACAAGATATCAAGAAATACTGCAGAGATTAAAACTGTAAAGAATTAAAAATAAAACTAGTGAGTGGTTTATCAGGACCTAAGTAAAGGTATTTTGCAGTAATGTTTTTAATATTGATTATATATATTAAAAAAATAGACAGAATTAATACACACATGGCCAAAATTATTGCGTATATCGTTTAAAAATATTCGGAAAGGAGTTTAAAGAATCTTTTTTTGTACATAGGTTTGATAATCTGTATCTGTAATAAACATTTTTTGTTAAAATGGATATGGTAAACAATGTTTATCGTTCAGACCCAATATTATTACAAATTTCTGCACATTTCGATCTGTGGTCTCTTGGGTTTCTAAAGAAATTTGACCATGGTTTTGGCCTTAAAATGCCTAGAAACATTATTTCACAGTTAAAGTCAGAATAGTAACACTGTCTCAACAGGGCTACCGGCAAATTGCAATAGTTGAAATTGTAGGAGTTAATCAAAGCGATGTTTCGCGAATATTAAAAGAAATCAGGGAGACAAACGAGGTTACAGACCGGCCTGGAAGAGGTAGAAAGAGATTACTACTGCTGTGCAAGACCATAAAATATCCCTAATTGCACGACGCAATCCCCTGCTTTCTAGTACTGCTATTAAAAATGAGTTAGTTCGCCTTGAAAGAGTAAATGTTTCAAGAAAGAACATAGCAAGAAGACTCCATGACAGAGGATTGCATTTAAGGAGGCCTCTACGTGTTCCGAAGCTTAATTTACAGCACAAAATTACGCGACTATAATGGACTGAGGAGATGAGAGCAAATGGAGCTAATTGGAATTTCGTCATGTTTAGTAATGAAACAAGAATAGGCCTAGTGGCAGACGCGCGACGAACTTTGGTCTGGAGAGCATCTGGAAGACGAGCATGCTTGAATGCAGCTCAACCCCGTATCCCGTTTCAAGGAGGAAGCATTATGGTACGGGCAGGTATAATGCACGGAGCTCGAACTCCTCTTGTTTTTATTTATGGCACAATGACAGGTGCCTCATATCTTAGAGACGTTTTAGAGCCTATTGTGCGTCCATTTCGAAGGGCAGTGGGGGATGAATTAGTTTATATGGACGATAATGCTCCTCCCCATCGCACTTTAGCGGTTCGCGAATTTTGTGAGGAAAAGAGTATAAGAAAACTGTAGTGGCCACCGATGTCTCCAGATATGAATGTGATCGAGCATGCTTGGGACATGCTAAAACGCCATATTGCCAAAAGGAATGATCCCGCCCTTACCTTAAATGAATTGAAAATTGCTGCTTGCGAAACATGGGAAGCCATTCCTCAACATCTTCTGAACAACTTAATTGAGAGCATGCCACGTCGTCTCACAGCTTGCATTGAGGCTCGAGGAGGCAATACAGACTATTAGTTGTGAGAAATAATTAAAATTGTTTTCAATATTTTCTGAAATAAAGTTATAATAACAGCCTAGTTGCACTTGGATTTTTAATTTTATATTAGTTAGTCGTGTAGTAAGCCAATATGTCCAAAAATATAAAAAGAATCATATTAGGTCCAAAATAAAATAAAAATATCGTTATATGCTATAATTTTGGCCATGTGTGTACATGTTTTTTTCTTAAATAAATACAAGATATTATATTAACATTTATATTTCCAGAAATTCATAAATTGAAGCCCCCGTCCCCTTAGCTTATATTATATTTTCAATCTAGTCCTGTACTGTACGAATCAAGAAGTTATATAAAGATGAACATGTATAGGGATCTTAAAAATACTATAGTAACATCAAGCAAAAATGATGTTGACTCAGTTGATTACAAGAAGAACTACAATTTTAAGCTTCTTAGCTTTGATTTTGTGTGAAACGTTATATGGTTCTGAAATCCCACAATCTAGTAAGTTGAAATAATCAATATCTATGTAGATTACTTACTTAATAAGATATACGTACGTAGGCGTACCATTTATTTTAAGCTAATTAAATTCGATATTTTTTATACTTTTTTTCTTAAAAATATTTGAGGAATCGCACCCAAAATTTTTACAGCTTAAGAAACATCCTGTATAATAGTAACTGTTTTACGTGTATTAGTATGTTGTTCGTATTTTACCTGAAATGCATTGAGTAAAAGTATTTAATTTTTCAAAAAGTATTGCGTTCTCATAATCAGAAATTAATACAAGAATTTATTTCAGTTTAAATACATGTATATGAATATACCGGGTGCGTCTCAAAATCGGCTCACCCCCTATAACTTTTTTATTTTTCCAGATAAAAACTTGATATTTAGTATATTAATATATGACATAAATTAGGATTGATTGACGTATTCAATTGTTTTCTGTCACTTCCGGTTTCACCGGAAATGACTTCAACTTTTGATTTTTAAATGGTACCCTCGGTGTTTTGTTGCTTTAAGCTTGATTTTCATGCATCCGTTGTCCGACGATACGATGATACGATATTAATTTTATTGGCTGAATGTAAAGGCTTCGTTGTGCATTAATAGCACCCCCCTAAGTTGTTATTACCACTTATAATAAGTAAAATAAGCTATAAAACAAATAAATCAATTAATCACTAAAATATTAGTTATTAAATTAAAAATTAAACTTAAAACTCTTTAAAAAATGATATAATAAATATATTATGGTGTTTGTCAATTTTAAATTAAGATTCATCTCATAAATCCATCACAATCTGGCAGCGCTGTCGCCATCGCTTGTCACTCAAAGTTGATGACGTGCATCGGAAATGATTTTGCCATTACCATAGTTTTAGAGTATAATTATAATTACCCCATCATCAACCAAAAGGTGTCTTCGAGTCTGCTATATAAAATGGTATTTTAATTTGATATTATTCTTAAAATCATTCCCATGACATGTGTCAGGCTTGTTTGAAAAAGAAATATTTTGTATATTACAGTTTTTGACTAATGTAAACAACACCAAGAGATTTTTTTATTTTTTTATATTTGTAATTATAATCCAATTATTTTTTAGGATCGAGCAAAAGTTACAAATCAAAGGAAAAAGTTGATAAAAAGTATTATGTATCTCCTGATAAGGGCAATCAATTCAGAGCCTATATCTATTGCATTTCTGCGGGTTTAGAACTGGCAACAGTTGAAAGTGAAGAAGAAACAGACATGTTGAACGAAGTACTGGAAAAAGACGATTTAAAAGGTTTGTTTGTAACAAAATAGTTGTTATAAATTACTACACTATTTTCGATATTTTTAGAAGGCTGGAACGAAGGCTATTGGCTGTCTGGAAGTAGTCTAGCTGATCCGGAGAAGTTGGAATATTACTGGGTCTCCACAGGGCAAAAAGTCATTTACACCAACTGGGCAAAGAACCAACCTGACAACGCTGGCAAAAAAGAATTCTGCATTGGGGTTGGACTAGTTGACAAGAAAATTGCTTGGAACGACTACGATCCAGAAACTGAACTCAGATACATATGTCAAACTCGACGACCCTGTTGTTAGTCAACTCATTATACAGGGTGTCCCAGAAATAAGTGCAAGTATTTTAACTGGGAGTATAGTTCAACTCCAGAAACACGCCTATGAGGTTTTTTCGCGAAAAAAAAAAATTCAAACTTCGAATTTATTTTTACTTTTTAGTTAAAAACCATAATTTTTTGATAATATGGCAACATAGATATTAGATTAAATTTACAAGAAAGAAAATCCAGAAAAGATCCAGTGGTTCTCAAAATTTTAAAAAATATTTTTTTTGCAAATTTTCAAAGTAAAATAACTCCGTTATTTTGGACTTATTTGAAAAACGATAAAGAGAAAATATGTTTCGTTTATCGAGATCTACCATCCCTTAAAATACTTGCACTTATTTCTGGGACACCCTGTATTGTATCATAGGCAAAACAAGGGCAAACATGAGCATATATATATTTTAATAAAATTGATACTCCTTATTTCATTACTAAAGATCATCCATAGCCTAATGTTGTAATAATAATAAGTAATTAAATAAATATGTGTTTTTATTTAATCTAATAATAATAAAATTTAGAAAAAAGTGTCAACAATTCTTGGAACATACACTAAAACAATGTCAAGAATGTTTTGGAAAGAAGTATTTAAATACCGTATGATCGAATAAAAACGGCGTCAGAGATGGCTATGAAATGACAATCGATGACATTTTCCATATAATTTTACAAAAAGCGATCTTCATTTCATAGCCATCGACGCCGTTTTTATTCGATCATACGGTATGTTCATTGAATAAACCAAAGTAATCCAAAACGATAGTTTTTATTCATTATCCATTGATTAATATAATGAGGATTTGATTTAATAAAAAATTTGTATAACCATTTTAGAACAAGCAAAAATTTATATGAATTGTCAAAAGTGTCAAAGCAATAATAAAAAAGTTTTTCCTCTTGTGAGATGATGAAATTTTAAAAGTTTATATTTGACAGTTCTACCGATTTTTTTTCGGGAACTGATATTTACCAAGCTTAGATTAACCTTACCTGGTTTTATAACGGAATACAGTCTTAATAAAGTTTTATCGTTGACTGAAGAACTGTGAACTTATTTCCTTCAATCAACTGTTTTATAAATACATCGTTTTTTAAATTTTAAATCAACTCCTTATAATATCAAGAGATGGGGGAAGCAGGGCCGTTCCTGGCGAGCGTGCAGTGCGTACTGCCGCAGCAGAGCGCAACATTTTGAGGCGCAAATCAAAGGTCGAAAATCAGTACTTTGTAACAAAAAAGAAACCGATACGCTTTCTTGCCAATAAACAAATACTTAAACAACCATGGGATAAAGTTTGCTTAACGTCTTTTTACGTTGGCCGCACCGTATAAAATCTAGGGCAATCTGTCGGCAACATTGATCTCATCTATTTATTTTTCATTTTATTCGTTTATGGAAAGCACTGTTCATGAAAATCTTGATCCTATGTTATGGGTTTGTTTCTCTCTACAAATTCCTCTACAAACCAAGCCAAACCAAATAAAACCAACCTGACAACGCTGGCAAAAAAAGAATTCTGCATTGGGGTTGGACTAGTTGACAAAGAGAAAATAAGAAACGCTTGGAACGCTACGATCAAGAAACTGAACTCAGATACATATGTCAAACTCGACGACCCTGTTGTTAATCAACTCATTATACAGGGTGTCCCAGAAATAAGTGCAAGTATTTAACTGGGAGTATAGTTCAACTCCAGAAACACGCCTATGAGGTTTTCGCGAAAAAAATTCAAACTTCGAATTTATTTTACTTTTAGTTAAAAACCATAATTTTTTGATAATATGGCAACATAGATGTTAGATTAAATTTACAAAGAAAGTTCTCAAGAATTTTAAAAAATATTTTTTGCAAATTTTCAAAGTAAAATAACTCCGTTATTTTGGACTTATTTGAAAAACGATAAAGAGAAAATATGTTTCGTTTATCGAGATCTACCATCCCTTAAAATACTTTACTTATTTCTGGGACACCCTGTATTGTATCATAAGGCAAAACAAGCGCAAAACTATGAATATATATTTTTTAATAAAATTGATACTCCTTATTCATTACTAAGACCATCACTTAGCCTAATGTTGTAATAATAATAATAAGTAGTGCAATAAATATGTGTTTTATTTAATCTAATAATAAAAATTTAGAAAAAAGTGTCAACATTCTTGGAACATACACTAAAACAATGTCAAAGAATATTATGGAAAGAAGTATTTAAATACCGTATGATCGAATAAAAACGGCGTCAGCGATGGCTATGAAATGACAATCGATGACATTTCCCATATAATTTTACAAAAGCGATCTTCATTTCATAGCCATCGACGCCGTTTTGTTAACATGGTATGTTCATTAGATAAATAAAGTAATCCAAAACGATAGTTTTTATTCATTGTCAGTGATTAATATAATGATTTGATTTTAATAAGAAATTTGTATAACCATTTTAGAACAAGCAAAAATTTATATGAATTGTCAAAGTGTCAAAATGACAATAATAAAGAAGTTTTTTCCTCTTAATGAGATGATGAAATTTTAAAAAGTTTATATTTGACAGTTCTACCGATTTTTTTCGAACTGATATTTACCAAGCTTAGTTAACCTGGTTTTATAACGGAATACAGTCTTAATAAAGTTTTATCGTTGACTGAAGAACTGAACATTTCGAAATCCAACTGTTTTATAAATACATCGTTTTTAAATTTTTAAATCAACTCCTTATAATATCAAGAGGTGGGGGGAGCAGGGCCGTTCCTGGCGGGCGTGCATTGCGTGCACGCACGTAGGCGCAACATTTTGGGGGCGCAAAATCAAAGGGTCAATCAGTACTTTGCAACAAAAAACCGATACGCTTTCTTGCCAATAAACAAATACTTAAACCATCATAGGATAAAGTTTGCTTAACGTCTTTTTTGCGTTGGCCGCACCGTATAAACAAATCTAGGGTAATCTGTCGGCAACACATTGATCTCATCTATTTATTTTTCATTTATTCGTTTGAAGCACTGTTCATGAAAATCTTGATCCTATGTTGGGCTTGTTTTCTCTCTACAATTTCCTGTCTCACAATGTACTGTTTGTGTCGGGGAAGGCATCATAGTTTCATAGTTGTCGATTTTCGAAAGAAATCAGTATATATTATTTCTATATTTTTCATTTATCGATTTTATGGAAAGCACTGTTCATTAAAATGTTGTATCCTATGTTATAGGGCTTGTTTCTCTCTACAATTTCTGTCTCACAATGTACCGTTTGTGTCCGGAAAGGGTTCATAGTTTCTGGTGTCGATTTCGAAAGAAATCAGTACATGTATATTATTTCGTATATTTTTCATTTATTGATTTTATGGAAAGCACTGTTCATGAAAATGTTGATCCTATGTTATAAGGATTGTTTCTCTCTACGTTTCTGTCTCACAATGTACTGTTTGTGTCGGGGAAGAGATCATAGTTTCATGGTGTCGATTTTCGAAAGAAATCAGTACATGTATATTATTTCGTATATTTTGTATTTTATTGATTTATGGAAAGCACTGTTTATTAAAATGTTGTATCCTATGTTTTTAGAGGCTTGTTTCTCTACAATTTCCTGTCTCACAATGTATTGTTTGTGTCGGGAAGAGATCATGGTTTCATAGTTGTCGATTTTCAGAAAGAAATCAGTACATAACTTATTTCGTATATTTTTTTCATTTTAGTGATTTTATGGAAAGCACTGTTCATTAAAATGTTGTATCCTATGTGTTATAGGGCTTGTTTCTCTCTACAATTTTCATCTCACAATGCCGTTTGTGTCCGGAAAGGGTTCTAGTTTCATAGTTGTCGATTTTCGAAAAGAAATCGGTACATGTATATTATTTGTATATTTTTCATTTTATTGATTTTATGGAAAGCACTGTTCATGAAAATGTTGTTTTATGTTGCGCCAAGGATTGTTTCTCTCTACGATTTCCTGTCTCACAATGTACTGTTTGTGTCGGGGAAGAGATCATAGTTTCATAGTTGTCGATTTTCGAAAGAAATCAGTACATGTATATTATTTCGTATATTTTGTATTTTATTGATTTTATGGAAAGCACTGTTTATTAAAATGTTGTATCCTATGTTTTAGGGCTTGTTTCTCTCTACAATTTCCTGTCTCACAATGTATTGTTTGTGTCGGGGAAGAGATCATAGTTTCATAGTTGTCGATTTTCGAAAGAAATCAGTACATGTATATTATTTCGTATATTTTTCATTTTAGTGATTTTATGGAAAGCACTGTTCATGAAAATGTTGATCCTATGTTATAAGGCTTGTTTCTCTCTACGATTTCCTGTCTCACAATGTACTGTTTGTGTCGGGGAAGGGATCATAGTTTCATAGTTGTCGATTTTCGAAAGAAATCAGTACATGTATATTATTTCGTATTTTTTTCATTTTTTTTTGATTTTATGGAAAGCACTGTTCATTAAAATGTTGTATCCTATGATATAGGGCTTGTTTCTCTCTACAATTTCCTGTCTCACAATGTACCGTTTGTGTCCGAGAAGGGTTCATAGTTTCATAGTTGTCGATTTTCGAAAGGAATCAGTACATGTGTATTATTTCCGAATTTTAGTTTATTGTTTTTATGTATTTCATATAAAATGGGTCAGTTTTTCTTTAGGGTATTATTTTTATTACTAAATATTTGTGGATTTGTTTGTTGTTTAATAAATGTTTTTATACTTTAATTAGAATAGTTTTTTTACATTTCCAGTTACATATTGCTCGTTTGTCGCATAATATAAATTCTTTAAATTTTTGAGATTAAGATTAAAAAATATAATTGGTTTAAATATAAAAAGGGTGCACCAAAGAATGCTGCACGTAGGCGCCAGATACCCCAGGAACGGGCCGGGGGGGAAGGGGTAAATATTAAAATTACCGTAAAATGTAATTCTTAAAAAACAAAATTTTAAGAAATACTTATATGGTAAGTTTGACATCAATTTTTCGTTTTCATTAAATTTAAAGTCTTCTTTATGTTAGAACTTCTCATG